CAGTTGGTGAAGTGAAACACCATGATCTGCAGGTGGCCCATGAAACTCTGCACAGTGGTCTTTCTTGGTTAAAATCTTTATGATGGCACCAGAACTATTTTTAAATTTGGAAATTTTGTTCAGATTGATGAAAGTTTATTGGTCAAAAGTGTCCAGAACCCACTGCAATAAACTAATGAACATGAGTATAGGCTCACTAGATGGTTATTAATGAGAACTAAAGTTTCTGATTTCAGAACAAACACCAGTAAACTAACCAACACTAGAGAAAGAGCTGGAAAAGAGGATGGAAAGACAAAATGATGGGGGAAGAAAGGGAGAGACATACCATTCCAGATGTTTTCAAGGTTCTGAATATGTCTCTTCCATAATTTTTCTTAGCTAAGATAGTCTTTCAAGCCATATATTACAACCAACTTAGAAACATTCACTTACTTTCACCCCATATATATTTACACTGCCGGTCCCTGGTTTTACATCTTCCTCCAAAGCAAATACCCTAGAAAGAAAGAAAAAAATGCAGAAAATATTTTGAATTACTTGTTTTTCTGAAATATGTATTTCTTCAACATAAAGATTAGTCACACACTTTATATTGAGGAAATAAATACGTGATTCTGTCTTTTCATACAAAATATGATTAGCACCCAAAACTCTTGAATGTTAGCAAAACTGTCCCAAGGTGACTTCCAAAGATCTTAAAAAAAAAAATCTATAAAAAGCAATCTATAACAGCAGAAAGAATGTATAACAAACTGAAGTCCTAATTACCTGTCTGTTATCACATGAATATCCATCCATTTTATGGATATTAGGAGAACACTATAGAAAGAGAAAATAGGTAATAGATCATAGATTAGACAATCGTGAAAGCAAAGTACACAACAAAAGTCATATGAAAAATAATTTCAATATTATTCTGGTTTTTTCAGCATCAACAGATTTAACACAATTTTAACACACCATACTATACAAAACATAGTAATTTCAAGATTATAGGTTTTTTTGTCTCATGAATAGAAGACACAAAAATCACCTGGCTGGAATTTCCTGTGCAGTTCTCTGCAATATCACAATCATTCACTGCTTCTCGACACAAAACTCCTTTAGGTTCAAACTGGAAATAAAAGCACAGAA